AAAAGTAAAAACAGCCCCAAACCCACCCCCCACCCCCCCCAGGTGACACGCGTGGAGGGGTGCGTGTGCCGCGAGGAGCGGCTGTGGGTGAATTAAACCCTGTGAGCTGCTGCGGAGGATCCCTCCTTTCCACTGAAGCCTTTTAATTCATTAAGAGAACTTCAGCAGCTCTTCCCCTTCCTGGAAGACTCCGGCGGTTCCACGTCCCCCGGCAGCTCTGGGCTCTGCGGTGACGTTGCGCCACGTCCTCGGGTTGTGGCTTTGGAGGGGACTCCGGAGCTTCCTCGCACGCGCGGTGCCGACGGCTTTGTGGGAACGTTAGAGAAATCTCTGTGAAAGCAAAAGATCCGTGGGCTTGGCCCCTAAAATGTTTTCTCGGTCTTAACAAATTCAGCGATGAAAGGCTCTGCTCCGGGGCGGCGGAGCTGATCCCCCCGCCCCGGCTCTGCGCTTTCCAGGGGGATTGGGGAGCGCTGAGCTCGGGGGGAGCCTTAGAGACCCCCGAACGCAGATCCAGGATCCTCTGCGGGCGTGTGGCTGGGTCAGAACACGCGGATTTAGGGGGTTTTTTGGGATGTTTTTGCTGTGGGTGTGTCACATGCTGTTGGAGGTTGGACCCTCGGGCAGCCGGGCTCATCCCACGGGGCCAAAAGAAGCTTCTTGAAAAACGTGGTCTTCTAATACCGTTTGGGGTGGAACAGCGTAATTCCACGGGTGATTTGGTGGCTAATACACCTTTCCCCGGGCTCTGGGCATTCGGGTTCTTTAAAAGGCATAAAAGCAAGTCGGGGGCGGAGGGGGGATTCGTGGGGGAGGCCTGGCTGGGAGAGGAGTCGTCCCTGGAGCTGAGACGCGTCCTACAGGAATAAATGTACAGATTGAACAATTCTAGGGTTTAGTTTAGTCAAATATTTGCAGAGCAGCAGCTCTTCGGCTAGATCTCCTTCCCTTGGAGCTCCGCTAGAATCTCAAGTTTTTAGTGACACTGGAGAAACCAAATTAAGGGACCGTAAAAGATCAAACATGAGGGGGTTTCTGGGCGTTTTGCCTACCAGCTTTCATCTCTCCTGCTCGGGGGTGGGCTGAGGGCGTTGTACGCGGGGAGGGGGTGAGCACCCGCACCCGTCCTGGCGCTGGGCTGGGTTGGATGAAGGTCACTGCCCCGTGTGTTTCCCCTTTAGCCTGCTCCACGGGCGTCCCCACTCAGATTTCCCTGGCCTGTCCCTGCCTGGAGGTGGCTCTGGGTGCTGGAGGTGGCTCTGGGTGCTGGGGGGGGCTCTGGGTGCTGCGGGGTGTCAGCTCTCCTGGAGCTCAGCTCCCGTTGCCTGGGGCAGGGCAGCGAGCGCCGCAGTGGGGTTCCCTGTCCGGAATCTGATGGATTTGACCCTCTACACCACGGCCTCCCTCCACGGGATTTTACCTTGGGGCTGCTCTGCTCATCCCTGAGGATGCTCTGGGGTTGGGGGGGGAAAGGGTGAAAATCCAAGCGTCCAGCCTGGAGGTCAGACGTGGCGTCGCCTGGGGGAAGGGTTGGCCCGTCGGCGCGGGGACGCGCAGGGTCCAGGCCGGCCCTCGGCCCCAGACGGTTTGGCAGAGAAGAAGAGTTGGGTTTGGGAGTGAATCGATCACCCAGCCCTGGCTCTGCTGCTCCTCGGAGAAACGAGCGCTGGGAGAAGGGCTGAGTTCCGCCCGGCGCCGTGGCGGTCAGGCTGGAAGTTACTTCTCGATTGGTGCAAAGTCCCACAATTAAACTCGGGGCAGCGCGGTCACGTTGGCAGGGGCAGCTCTTCCCGGCCCGTTGCTCCCGCGGGCTGCTTCGGTTTGCCCTGCTTGTATTTTTGCTGGCGGGTCAGGCTGGGGCTGCTGGAGCTTACCGCCGAGAAATCGTTCCCCTCTGGGGGTGCTGGGCGCTCGCCTGCCTTCCCAGAACCCGAAGAGAAAAGCAGGAACAAACCTGCGCGCCTCCGGGGAGCGGCTTTGGTGGCGCCCGGGCGGTCCCAGCGGGCGCGTTGGCACCCGGAGGGTTCTCATTCTGCAGACTGGCCGCGGCTTCTCCTCCCCGGGCCGGGCCGTCGGTCCCTTCGGCGGCGGCAGCGCGTGGG